GGTTATAAAATATAACACTGGATTTCTATAAAGTGGGTTATAAAATATAACACTGGATTTATAAAAAAAAAGTTGGTTATAAAATAAAACTTAGGATTTCTACAAAAATGGGTTATAAAATACAATACTGGATTTCTAAAAAGTGGGTTATAAAATAAAACATTGGACTTTTGCAAAGGTGGGTCATAAAATGCAGCAAAGGATAATATGAATCGTTTATGTCACTAATGCTTTTATTACTAACTTAGATAACACCGAGAATTATAACCTTTCGAAATGGTTAAAATGAAATAAAAACAGAAAAAAAGAAAATAAAAATAGAACGAAGCAGCTTGGCTAAATCAATTCTGTAAGTTAAATTGATGGTATATCGGTAAAGTGGTTAAAATGTGATATTTTTACTTATTTTATTCTCTGCTCCATTTTAACTATGTCAACACTCATATTATTTTATTTTTTGCATAGTATTACATGATTTTATGAAGTGAGAACCCAGTTTTTTTCATCTGCTGGCTGAACTACCGCGTAGTTTATGAAAAATCCAAAAGCGAAAAGAAAAAATAAGGTAGGGAACAACACTTTTGATATCGTGTCGATTTTTTTAGCCAAGGCTGAATAAGAATATGATTCCAATTGCGTGTTTCTTGAGCCCCTAAGCCTTGTAAACAGAGGAGTTTCTTTATCCAGGTCAACTTTATTGTCAAAAGATGGCACTGACATCGTTGTGATGCTAGAAACTTTTGTTTTAGGTTCCACTTTATCACTTCTTCCCTAAAATAAATGTAAACAGTCCACAGTAAGTGTATATCTACTGAAACACTTGAAATACTTGGTTTCATTTGTATATCGAATCACAAACATAATATATTCAAAGTAAAGTAGCTTATAACTATAACAATGAGATTTATAAAAATATGAAAGCTGACAAATTGAATATAGAAAATTCTTTTTAATCTGTGATGTCGTAACTCTTATAAATTAAACGACATGTTAGCATATGATCAAATATTTGTTACACTGATCAGCTCAATGAGAACCGGAAATGAGCAAGCCCTCTAGTAATTGAATCGGTCATTGTGGCATTAATTGTCTCTCGTTAAGCCAGAAGTGAACACGTTATAGCGTATCTCAGCCTATCGTGATCACAATGAACGGCTCACTGCGGACCGGATGTAAGCTTCTGGTGATCTTATTGAACGGCTCACTGAGGACCGGATGTAAGCTTCTGGTGATCTTATTGAACGGCTCACTGAAGACCGGATGTAAGCTTCTGGTGATCTTATTGAACGGCTCACTGAGGACCCGAAGTAAGCCTATCGTGATCACACTGAGAGGCTCACTGAGGACCGGAAGTGAACACTCTGTCATGTAGATTAGTCTATTGTGATCACACTTCACATCTATCTCACTGCGGATCGGAAGTGAGTACGCTGTCATGTAAGGTAAGTCTGTCGTGATCACATTGAATGGCTCACTGTAGACCGGAAGTGAGAACGCTGTCATGTAAGGTAAGTCTTTCGTGATCACATTGAATGGCTCACTGTAGACCGGAAGTGAGAAAGCTGTCATGTAAGGTAAGTCTGTCGTGATCACATTGAATGGCTCACTGTAGACCGGAAGTGAGAACGCTGTCAAATAGATGATCTTTCACGATCACTGATTGGCTTAGCGAAACTCAGTTTTAATACCAGAAAGTATACTGTCATCTTTGACTAATTTTAAATACTTGTAAGTATAATGCTTTGATGATCCGTGTTCTATTAAGGAAGTTTTATTATTATATGTATAAAAGGAAGAATCTGTTAAATTATATATAATTTAAAATCGGTATTATACTATTAAATCTTTATTATTATGTATAAGTTGTTATCTATGTTATGCCAATGAAGCTTTAGTACTATGTCATTCTGATCTTTATAAGTAGATATGCAAGAAAAGTATATTTAACTAGCTGCTTATTCTGATCAGATGAGAGTATTATCAATGTGACACATGAACCTACCGGTCTACAGTTTCTATACCAGCGTCTTATATGACAACATTTCAATTTACTTTCACAACTCCTCTGATTAGTGCTTGAGATCGGACTGGATGGAATTTCTTCTTCATTCTTAAATCGGTAAAGAAAATTAACGGCAATAAACTCCAAAACAGAAATATAGATGAAAAACATGCAGACCCCGTCCCACAGATTCATGGCGTTGAGGTCGGAGACAACCGGCAGCGTAGATCGAAAACTATTGGTTGTGGTACAGAAGTTTAACATAGTGGTTACACCAATCATCACCCGGGCTGGCACAGCATTGATGTCCAGCCAGAAGCTCAAGAATGAGCTGGTGACTAGAAGTGTTCCAGGGACGAAGACAACAGTGTAGTAATAGGACTTGTCTCTGGTAAAGACTAGAAGAACTGTCAAGCAACTGTAATTACCTGTTGACAGAATGAGTCAATAAATGATAATAAATTTAGAAACTAACAGATAAAATACAAAGTTTAACTGAAATTTTTTAGATACTCATTTAGGATATTCTAAAGGTTACGTAAGTGAAATTGAAAACTGTAAGTGTTTTTAATCATAACATTAAAATCATCTTGCATTCAGTCTAGTCAGAGTCTGACTCAGATTCTGACTCCATGAATTCACAGACGAATCTTTACCAAAATATTTAATTGAAAAAAAATCAGATTTTTTGTGGTCAAAAGATTTGCAAGGCTTACTAAAAGCTCGCCAACTTCTGTGAAGATACATTCACTACATTAAATATCATAGTGTGTGTATAGTTTCCTGGTGAATACAAGGTTGGTCGAAATGACCAAGTACATATAGAAAGGATTAAACAGAAAACCGAAAAGCTGTTAAACAAGATAATAATTAAATAAGCTATTTAAAAACTGATTGTTTAGTTAAGAACCGACAATATAGTAACAAAAATAGTTGTACAGTTCCCCAGAAACGCACAATTTGTAGTTGATGAGCATCAGTGAAATATAACTAAAAATCTAACCCCTGATTGAAAATACCTCGCCACGTGTGTCTTTGGTCGCAGATTCCAGTTTCATTTTTGACAAGGTAAGCATTATGAGTTCTCAATGACGAAGCATCCCTGAGATCAGGTGTCAAGGTATTCCATTCTAGTTTCACCTCCGAATCTTCATGAGAGACTAACGACAAGGAGAAAACTCAATAAAACTTGAAACTACAAAATCTTTAAAATTAAAAAGCTTTGAAAACAAATTAATCCTTGGTTCAAGATTTTAATGTCGCTATTATTTGTACATTAGTATCGTTATATGTTCTTTCGATTCAATAGTGATCAGTTAAATCTAGCTTATGTCCTACCTCAAAATAAGTAAAACATCGATATACCGTATCCATTTAATATAATATTTCCCTATTGTTATTAACAATGAGTCAAATCTTTCTCAGCACAAAACATAGAGCACTATTGGCAATGCAAATATTTTGTGTTATTACTCTAATTACTTAACATTAAACATAATTCACTTTAAAAAACCTCGCACCTGCTCCGTTGACGAAGTAATAGATAGGCTAAAAAAAGCATTGCAGTTATTGTAAAACATAAATGAATGAATGATGCCTACGTGTTTTGTTAGTTTTCCTGGATCTGATTATCATATACACCTTCTTCTCGAATTTTTTTCAATCCTTGTGAAAGGAGTCAGGAGGGGGGAGGTGGGGGCTGTAAGACGGAGATCTGTGCAAACACTCTGATGCACATTGCTTAATCCGGACCTGACTAGACGACTCTCTATCAAGATTTAAATCCATCAATAAAACGGATAAGATGTGAGCCGTCGTAAAACAGGTGAAACGTTCTGTTTACAGAAGAATCTAGCACATGCGTAATTTCACACTACGTTAACCAACAGAATCGCAAAATGTTGAATTCTTATAATAAAACTGCTTTGTTAGAATAGCAGAGAACGAATTATTCACACGAGTACGAACAAACATTGGAAGTAGATAAGTTGTTATAGACCAATAACAAGTTAATGTTGGGGTTAAAAAATTAATCTGCTAGTTTTCTTAGTGTTAACAGAATATTCTACGAATGTCCATGTGGTATAATTTCAACATGTTATAGATCATACAGATATCTATATTTATCAGTGTCGTTTCTTCCCTTTGAATCAATTAACCCTTTTTGTACAAATATTAACGTATTTAAATGAATAAGTGTTTCACGTAGGAATAATTTAAAAATATTAATAACCGGAAAAATAAAGTTACTACATCAACTCCATGTCTTAACCGTGTTTTTTTTTCTTTTTCTGGCGATATGCCGGTCTTGTATAACTAACTTCTCAAATCACTATATCGTTACTATACCAGCTGCCCCCCAGTGGCACAGCGGCATGTCTGCAGACTTACAAGCTAGAAACCCTTTGTGTAGCCTTGTGCTTAACTTCAAACAAACAAATCAACTACACCAACTTCATGTCTTAAAAACTGTTGTTAACTACTAAAAGATACACCTGATTCCAAACATTTTTTGTTGCGAGTTATTAGGGAAAAAAAAGATTTTTAGCTTTAAAATAGATGTCATACAGTGATTAATAAAAATAATTGTGGGTATGGTCTTATGTGTTAAGAATAGGAATAAAAGAAGATCTGTTTGCTTCTTAAGACTTTTTACCCTATGTGTACTAAAGGCAACCTACAGTCCCCATAGGGGCACATCCTAACACTAACGCACCAGAAAAAAAAACGTTTGCCTTACGATGCTTGAAAGTGCCTTTTTTTGTTAATGAATCATTGGCTTTTTATTGTCCTCTGCTTATTACTGACACAAGGTAATTTGAACTATTTTCCAGACAATAACTATGGTTACACTGACCATTACGATGACTGATAAGTAAGACAAATCTGAATGACCAAGAAGTCAACAAACATCACAACTTTTCTGACCAAAATTGTTTGTTTGTTTTTTGAATTCCGCGCAAAGCTACACGAGGGCTATCTGCGCTAGCCGTCCTTAATTTAGCAGTGTAAGACTAGATGGAAGGCAGCTAGTCATCACTACCCACCGCCAACTCCTGGGCTACTCTTTTACCAAGGAATAGTGGGATTGACCGTCACATCATAACGCCCCAACGGCTGAAAGGGCGAGCATGTTTGGTGGGACGGGGATTCGAACCCGCGACCCTCAGATTGCGGGTCGAGTGCCATAACCACCTGGCCATGCCGGGCCACTGACTAAAAGTTAACTTTCTTTAGGATTATGATAAAAAATTCCTCAAAACTTCTCAGGATGTCATTAGACAATTCCATTAAACAAGTTGGGGGAGACTAGAGCTCTCCATCATTTCCATCTTTCTACACTTTCCCTATGTTAACCAAGTCATTTAGGGCCAATTCGATAAGTAGATCACCAACACATCTTGCCAGAAGACGCGTGTGTTTCTGGACTAATCTCTAACTGTGCTTAAAAGCTTAACAATAGGATTAGTTCGAGTCAAAATTGAGCACATCTTCTGTACATAGAACGTCTAAGTAAGTACGAGTATCTGTACTGAAATTTTGAAAAATATACAACCAAATATACCCAAATAAAGATATACTAATTTTGTAAGTTGTGAAAGAATTACAACCAATATATTTGTATACCACATGCATTTATCGGTCACAGCTTCACAGATTAAATCTTTATGTGACGATAAATGTAAAATATTTTTACGTTATAACTCTAATTGTAACAAAAGTGTTTGACGATTTCTCGGTAGTTCTTTTATTCGCTAAATATTAAACATGTTAATAATATATTACTCTGAACATTTCACTTACCACTCTCGAAAGCAAAAGAACATTTTGGATTGTCGAATGGGAATATGCCGAGGTTACCTTGACAGTTCATAGTTATTTCTCGCCTAGAAAAACACAATAAAACTACTAAATATATGTACACTCGTTTCTGTAAAATTGAGCAAAAATGGTGGAATATGTGATGAAATAATAAAAATATAAACACTTGTTTCAGAAATATAGTTAATAAATATTTTGAATAAATATATATACGTTTCAGTAAGATAGAACAAGAACAAGTCTCCAAAAAAGTGTAGTAAATGTGTTTGTTTCTTTTAGAATTTTGAACTGATACAATAAATATATGGTAGACAGTCAACAGTACCCACCGCCAACTCTAAATATGGAGCACGTTTTCTTTGCAATAGGGCGCGAACCATGAATCCTTGTTAATCACAAGGCATCTACCCGTCAAATCGAAATACTAAGTATTTGTTTGTTTTTTGAATTTCGCGCAAAGCTACACGAGAGCTACCTGCGCTAGCCGTTCCTACTTTAGCAGTGTAAGACCAGAGGGAAGGAAACTAGTCATCACCACCCACAGCCAACTCTTGGGCTACTCTTTTACCAACGAATAGTGGGATTGACCGTCACATTATAACGCCCCCACGGCTGAAAGGGTGAGCATGTTTGGTGGGTCGAAATACTAAGTATATAATCACTCACTGCAGTAAGAAATTTGGATGGGCTTTTTCAACTGAACGACACTTTATGCATAAGTGGCCTAAACGGGTGCGTCATAGATCTCTAGGATTCAGACATAGCCGTCCCTAATTTTGAACAACTGAGAAGAAGGAAGGCGTCCAGGCAAAAGCAGCCTCCGCCACACTGACTTTGTCTGTTTCTTTGAACTGAATAGAGAATTGACTGTCAAATTTTAACGCATCACATCTGAAAGACTGGAACGTATTCAAAGGCATCACGCCTCGAACACGAGCCCCTACAATCCTCAGCCCGACAGGCTAACTACTAGATCTTGCCTGCCCCGATTTCAGTATGAGTGAATATATCCTGCAAGAAGCAAAGTAAAAATACTAATTATATAAACTTCCACTTCAGTAAGACAAAAGAAAATAATTTTTAATTTATTTTCCAACATTGAATTTTATGTTAAAACCATTAATATTCATATATTTCCAAACTTAATTTTGTCTGTAGGATTTAGTAACATCTAATGACAATGTTATAGTCAGTTGTTTTATGCATAACTAAATTATTCAAGTAGCTTACTAGTAACAGGTTATTAAGTTTAACGACATTTCTTCTCCAGTGTTTGATGAATCGTGAACGCTATTTTATATCTAAGTTATTTAATTCAATTTCTAGAAAAGATTTATATTCATAAGGGATTTTCTTTTTCGTGCTCACATTCCGACAGTGATGACCTCTTGATTTGAATTGTAACTGCAAATTACACATGTTTCATTTGCGTGATTACCATTTGTCCTATTTTTATATTAACATTACATTTTTTTACTCTAATATTTTATGCATTTTTAAGTAACGTGTACATTTCAAACGTTGTGGATATATTTCAGTTTATCGCTTAAAGAATTTGAGCTATATCCACAAGGAATATAGAATATGTGTGTGTTTGTGTGTACCTGTGTTAGGGGGTTGTCTTTGGAACGTAACGAGACTAATTTTTAAATATGCGTTAATCGTGTTAATAATGGCTGGTTTAGCACATAACACAATTCGTCAAATAGCCTGTTGGTTAGGGTACTCAGCTCGCAATCTGCGGCTGGTGGGTTCGATTCCCACAGTGAATGTGTTCGCCCATTCAGTCGTTGAGGCGTTATGTGGTGACGGTTAATCTCACTTTTAGTTGGTAAAAAAGTAGCCCAATAGTTGACAATTGATGTATAATTTCTAATTAGTGCAGATAGCCTTAGTACGCGAAATTCACAAACACATTTTCAAAATTAAGAGTTTTTTTTTTCTTTGTGCTTTTGAATGAGTTTCTGATTTAGTCCAAATACATACCTCTGGGTGTAATACACTCTTCCATCTGGATATACTTGGAGAGCAATATCAGCAGGTATAAGTGGTTCTTTTAACTTTCCATGTTTTATAAAATAGGTGTCAGGCATCCAGATATTTTGAAGGTGTTTCAATGCGTTTAAATATTGGTAACGTCCCATATTGTCGTAGTTGAGTCTCGGGTCATACCACACTTGATGCATTAAGAATTCCACCTCGTATTCCTGTATTCATAATGACAGTGACATTATAGATAATTAAAATGTGATATATATATATATATATATAACAAAACATTGGAATATCAGACTATTCCATTTTTACCACTCCTTTATTAATTTATACAACCGGTTGCATGATTCAAATGTCACTCTTCAGGATATAATTTTACCGAAAATATATAACAAGATCGTTTTCGCGCCATTTTAAATATATAGAAGCAAGAGGGCAGAAATAACTGGTTGTGTGAAGTCAGTAAGAATTATGAAACCATGGAAACTGCTACTAAGACTTACAGAAAAGACAATATAGTAAGTAAGGGTATGAACTTATGGAATAAATACACTGCATTTCTATAATAATAGGAGAAATTATAATTATATTTTCATTTAAAAAGGAAAGTATATCGGATAAATTTGAGTAATTTTATTTATTTTTAAGCATTTTTAATATACTTAATTTATACATGGAGTATATGGTTGTACATCTGGAAAATATATGTATCTAATTTAGATTATTTATATTTGGTTGAAAAACGCTAGTTTAACGTTTCTGTTATAGATTTTCAGTAAAATTATATCCTGAAGAGTGACCTTTGAAGTCACAAACCGATCGAAGAATTTAATAAAGAAGACAAAAACAAAATAGTCTGATATTCTAGTTAAAATATTAACTTGCCATGTTACAACATTAAACTATCGTACTAGAAAAGGAAACCAACAAAGAAGATAAGCAAAGGTCTAATAAGTATTTCAATTTTATTATAACATTGTAAAACCCGAACAAAAACAACAACATTCATATTGATTAACGCTTCACTATTTACGTCAATTCGAGAGTCCCCTAAGTAGTCTAGATACATATACTTTATTGTATATTCTTTAGAGAGAAAATTACAGTTATTGGAGCCTTGTTCCTGTAATTTGGAAGTCTGCTACATATTGGATTTCTAAGAGGGGGAAATATAAAAATGTCTAAGAGAGTATATCGCATATGCATAACGTTGGTTTAATCAACCATGGAATAATGCGATTCGAATTAGAATCAAATTATGGTTACTTTTTTTTCGAAGAATGATAATGTTTTAAATGTTCAGCTGGCCAAGTAAAAATGTGGAGGAAAATTCTCAAAGCAACTCAAAAATTAAATAAAAATATTTACTCAAAATTCATAGGGGGATGTACCCCCCACACTTGATATCTTTACTCACAAGACTGGATTCATCCGGAGAAGAGAGAGATAGTAGAACAACACTCACATTTATGCACGTCAGATCTAAAGGGAAACATAACAAATAACACCAGACATTAACATTTTAAAGCCGAAGTAAAGTTTAAGAAATTGGGGAGATGTTAATGTAAAAGTCAATTTTTGATTTATATTGTAAGTAACTACATTTGAGCAAAACTTGACTTCTGGTTATTTGATAACCCTGAGTTTTTTCTGATATAAACATACATATCATATAAATGAACAAAAACAAGCCCAAACTAAAAAACAAAATTACATTAAAGACGCTGTATAAATTAAAAGGATCCCTAGGGTACAGGCTATAATGTGGGATATAAAATGTGCCCTAAGTTTTGGAGGTGACTGCGAAAGTGGGGCCCACATTGCGGTGGGGATATACCGTCTATCAGTCTTAACCTCACAAGGAATTAAATATATTTTGCTCAGGAAAGTGAATAATACAAATGCAACAATATCAAAATATATTTAAAATATTTTGACAGGCCCTTCATGACCCAGTGGGAGACATTTTTGTTGGAAAAAAAAACTACCCAATCCGGTTTTTTCTTAATTTGTACTTAAATTTTTTGGACATTTTTATTGGCTAAAAAAGAAGGCATTTCCCGCACTCTTTTAGCGTTGGGGCTGCAAAAAGTGATTTGAAGTGGTAAGGTGACTGAAATCCGTCAGCGATTCACGAGCTTAATGGTCAAGCACAAAAAGCATGGAAGTTTCCAAATGACACGCAGAGGTATTCAGGAACCGTTTAGAATCACTTTGGTAGATAATGTGCAGCAAGCTGAGTACATTATTATGCCTGTAACTGCTTTCAAAGTGTTCCTGTCTGCTCATCCTACTGCTGACTATCGTGATGCTTCGACCTTCCCTACCGAATCGCAGGTGAAATCGTACGTATCTCAATTGAAAGTTAAACATAAAAAGGTGATAGCAGAAGCATAAAAGGTTGGCAATTGCTCAATTAATGATGCTGAGAGTGTGGATTTATTGATATATGCTGAATTTACACCAAGTGGGTAAACCTTACTACTAGCTAGACTTGAGGATGATGTATTTCATATAAAAATTTATCAATTAACAAACGAAAACTTGTCTTGGAAAGATGTGTCCAAAATCACACTTTATGGGAGTTTCCGTATTCAACATACTTTTCACATTCAACTCTTTATTCCTCTATATGTATTTTTATTTTTTATTTGTTTTAAATTAATAATAAAAAGAGTTTTTAAAGATATTTTTATATTGTTTCATTTATATATATAGTTATGAATGTTCAGCATGTATACGTATGCATAGATAGATAGTTAGAGAGTTCTATAAAACTACATCTATTGTTTTTAACTAGCTTTAAGGATTATTTAAATATTCTTTACAAGTGTATAAGGTTTACATTTTTGTTTGGTGGTACTGACAATGTGCCTATGTTTTTCTGAACCAAGAAATATAGTAATCGAATATAACCTTCATAAAACCCAGTTTAAAAATTCACAAGTCTTCAAAAATGTTTTTTTTATGCTTTAACGTCGATAATAAAAAACTAATCAGTAAAGGTTCTTTTGGTCACTGTTTAGAAAAGTAATCTGTCTCAAGAGAGTTAAACCTGTCAGAATTATTTTTCACAAAGAAATTACTAACACTAAAAATTTTCATATATCATATAATCTTATCTGTCGTTTTCTAAAATTCTCACACCATTAACATCTACCACTATGAAACTACAACAACAAAAACAACAGCACAAGAGAAGATAAATGTCTATATTATAACAGCCAGTTTAGATTTAACATGCTATGCATCGTTAACAACATTGTTAAATTGTTTTATATAAACGAATAATGAAATCTAAAAAAAAAATTCATCACTTTTACAAATGCTTAAAAAAACAGTTGATTTAGGTTTCTTTGATTTTAAATTCAAACTTCGCCAATTTTTTTTTTATATATAGAAAAACCCTACTTGTATAATCACCACTTTTTCCATACTGTTGAAGACTTCGGCGTGTATAAATCGCGTTTTTGTGTACAACGTTCTAAAACAACAACATTTTTCTAATTTAGTGTTTCATTTTAGTTGAATCTAAAACTTTGAGCAAAATGTACGAAATCACTGGAGGAAGGAAATGCTAGTTATATTAAATGAAACATGCTAGTGATAAATAAAAGACTAACCAGGTGTGGTATTGAACAAATTGAAGATGTTCTACAATTCTAAAAATGGATTCATTTTTCGGAGAATGTAATTTAATTACAAAGAACGACATTAACGTAAATTTAATAAGCGTCTTTGAATCTTGAGAGTTCCATCCTCAGTAAGCTAAAGATACAACAATGCACAATGGTAATTACACCAAGAATGTGATATACTCTATAGCAAATGACAATAAACAATTGCAATACAAATAATTCTTATTCCACAATTCATATCATTTGTTAGATCATATTTGCTTAATTTACTATTTTCAGCCAATTCTTGTATTATACTTGCTCTAAACTGCGACAAAGATTTCTTCGATCTTGCTTTGGAAACTTGAGATTTCAATGGCTGCTGAGTAAGTATAGAAGCAGGAAGAGAGATACAATAGCTCTGGAGTCATTTTAAAGATATTGATTAACTCTTTTGCATAACTCCATGTTAACTATTATTGTTTACACACACATTTACAAAGTTCTATAAACATATATTTTGTATAATTAAAGTAACATTAGATAGTTTTCATGACGCGATAGTATGTTTTGGTCATACTGCATGTTAACATCAAAATATGAAACTGATAATATATACCACATGTTCACAGTTTTCATGACGCGATAGTATGTTTTGGTCATACTGCATGTTAACATCAAAATATGAAACTGATAATATATACCACATGTTCACAGTTTTCATGACGCGATAGTATGTTTTGGTCATACTGCATGTTAACATCAAAATATGAAACTGATAAAATATACCACATGTTCACAGTTTTCATGACGCGATAGTATGTTTTGGTCATACTGCATGTTAAAAAATCCCACATGTTCACATTGAACTTTTGTCGTTATGAATATACCGATTTCGTGTTCACTCTAGAAATATATTGTAATATTACTGATAAAGAACTTTTATCATTATTATATATTTTAGTCCCAACAGTTTACTCTTTTTCCAGTTCATCCAATGTTTTCGTCTTAAACGTCCAGGTTTTGAATATTTCAAATCTCAAAACAGATTTTTTAACAAAGTTCCTATCTTGTGGTATCTTTCGATCCCTTCAGCCACTACCAAGAGGGTACAATAATCCATGGTTAATAGATCAGGATAAATATTTAATTTTTTAAAAATGAAAAACGGGTTTTTTATTTACTGGACATGAACCTAATGAAGTTACATTATCAGAAGTTGATTACACAACAAACTCATGATAGCTTATAGAATGTATCTATATATATGACTCCAGGAAGGCATTGAAATACTCAAGGGGCTAGATATGAGTCTGATAAAAGTAACAAGGTGACCACAAGGTATGTAGTGAAATATAAAGGTTTCAAATTTAAAACATTCATACACGTATAATTATGTGTTATAACCAAAACTCATATTAATTTCCATTGTCTGTGATTAAATAATAATACCATTCAAATGTTTTGTAAAGTAGCGGAAGATGAAAAACATCAAAGTGCCATGCTTGTTTCTCACATCAGGTATCAGCACCTACAAAGGAAAAGACATAGGACGAAGATGCCACATCAACGTGGCTTCAAAACTACCCTTTTCAACACCATACCACTGTAAATCAGAATAAGCAGACTATCCAGCCAGACTCCTGGTTGAAGAATATCTGCGCACCGAACCAGTGATCTGTCAGTGGAATCCACAGCCTTTGTACAGTGGACATTATGTGTAGAAGGGAAACTCATAGATTTCGATTAGGGATGGGCAGTGGTGAACAATCAAACTTGGAAAAACTGTGTTTGTCAGTATTTTTGTCACCGTGCTTCACGTTGAACGTGTGTAATTAGAACCTTTGTATTTTCTTACCTTTCAACGATTCTTTCTGTGCCTAATTCCATTGTAATGTGTTTAATTAGAACCTTTGTATTTTCTTACCTTTAAACGATTTTTTATTAGCTTAATTCCATTGTAACACATTGTAACGTGTGTAATTAGAACCTTTGTATTTTCTTACCTTTCAACGATTCTTTATGAACCTAATTCCATTGTAACACATTGTAACGTGTTTAATTGGAACCTTTGTATTTTCTTACCTTTAAACAATTTTTTATTAGCTTAATTCCATTGTAACACATTGTAACGTGTGTAATTAGAACCTTTGTATTTTCTTACCTTTAAACGATTTTTTATTAGCTTAATTCCACTGTAACACATTGTAACGTGTTTAATTAGAACCTTTGTATTTTCTTACCTTTAAACGATTTTTTATTAGCTTAATTCCACTGTAACACATTGTAACGTGTGTAATTAGAACCTTTGTATTTTCTTACCTTTCAACGATTCTTTCTGAGCCTAATTCCATTGTAACACAATCTTTACTAACTGACGAAGGACATCTGCCTGGAATGTTGCACAAAATAAAAATAGAAAAAGTTTTCATTGAGACGTGTCAATTTATTCGTTCTAATCTTTATTCTCACGTCCTGTCAAATAAAACTCCTTCGTGAAGAATATGAGCCAATCAAAATATAATTTTGAATTGTCACCGATTAAATCCAAGAAGAAATGGTATATTACTGCTTAGGTTACCAGAACTAACACTGATAAAAATGTACACACACACGTATGTATATGCATGTATATATGTATATATGTGTGTGTGTGGTTCAGGAAATGCTCTAGTCATTACGGTGGATAAATACTGTAACATAGTCATACTAAGTCAATACGAATGAAAGACTACCCGTTTGTTACTACTTTTCTTGAACTAACGTAATT